CCAGGCCTGGGTCCGAGTAGGAGACGCCTGTGTCCGGGTCGAGGGACGTATGAAGTACCTCGGCCTCGACCTGGACAGCCGTTGGCGCTTCGAGGGACACTTCGGCCGCCTGGCCCATCGGATTCAGGGCGTGGCGACCCTGTTGGGTCGTCTGATGCCCAATCTCGGGAGGCCGGAGGAGAGGGTACGCCGCCTCTACATGGGGGTGGTGCGGGCGATGGCCCTATACGGGTCACCCTTGTGGGCCCGCGACCTGATGGCCCGCCGGCGGGGCCGGCAGCTACTGCGGCGCATTCAGCGCTGCATGGCCATCAAGATCGCGAGGGGGTACCGCACCATCTCCCACAAGGCGGCGGCCGTCCTGGCAGTGGTCGTGCCCTTTGATTTCCAGGCGGAGGCTGACGCCGATCTGTATCGGTGTTTGCAGAGCCTCCGCCGGAACGGGGTCGACCCGCCGGACGACGCGGTCGAGGCGATGAAGCGCCAGTGCCGGCGGCTCGCTCGTGAAAAGTGGCGGCGCCAGCTGTACGACAGCGGAACTACATGGGTTCTCATTTGCATCACAACTAGGAATGGCTGCTGCTATCTATATCAAGGTAATGAATCCAGGTGATCAACAAAAGACCACGTTCATCTGTGCAAAATCAAAAGTAGCACCACTCAAGAGAATGTCTATACCTAGGCTCGAACTCACTGCAGCTCTGCTCGTAACTAAGCTCATGAGATACGTACAGCATACGTTAGAACTCAATGAAGCACAGACCTTTTTGTGGACAGATTCATCAGTAACGCTCACCTGGATCAAATCACACCCTTCACGCTGGAAAGACTTTGTCAGGAACAGAGTGTCAACCATTCAAGATCTATCTTCAAGCAGCGTATGGAGATTTGTTCCTGGAAAGGGAAATCCAGCCGATTGCGCTTCAAGAGGGCTTAGCATCTCCCAGCTCCAGAAGCATCAACTGTGGTGGACAGGACCACAGTGGCTCATTGGGACCCAGAGCTCTTGGCCAACTCAGCCAATATATCACGAATCACAGACTCATCTAGAAGAGCGCCATGGACAATCATTCATTGTGGCAACAACTCACCCTGAATATCTTTGGGAGATGATATACAGATTTTCATCACTCATCAGACTGCTCAGAGTAATCGCAATTTGCTTTCGAGTAGTTCAACTCATTAAGAGAATGCCACAATCAACACTCGCAAGTCCGATCACGCCACACGAAACAGATCATTCACGAGTGTTTTGGATCAAAGCAACTCAAGCAGCGTATTTTTCCAGTGAACTCAAGCTCATGGGGTCAAATCAACTACCACCAGCTCATCCTTTCAATCGATTGACTGCCTACATAGACACTCAGGGCATCATTCGTGTTGGAGGGTGGTTGGAACGCTCACAATTGGAACTTGAGACAATTCATCCAGCAATACTGCCTCGGCAGTCAAAATTCACCTCACTCATCATAGCAGATGCACATCAGAAAACATAACATGGTGGCACTCAATCAACAACGAACCACATAAGGCGATCCTACTGGATCATTGGTGGTAGAACTCCAGTCCGATCGTACATACTCCGCTGCATCAAATGTGCTCGGCAACGTGACGTACGAGCACAACAGTTAATGAGTCAATTACCACCCACGCGAGTCACACCATCCCGACCATACTTCACCTCTGGCGTGGATTACGATGGTCCATTGACCATTAAGACCTGGAAGGGAAGAGGCGCCAAAAAACAGAAGGGGTGGTTGTGCATATTCGTGTGCTTTGTCACTTCCGCAGTGCATCTGGAAGCGTTAAGTGACTATACCACTGACTCATTTCTCGCTGCATTCAGAAGGTTCACTGGACGCAGAGGCATCTGCAACACTCTCTACAGTGATTGCGGCACGAATTTCATTGGAGCAGATGCCACACTTAAGAAACTGTTCACTCAAGGCACTCAAGAATTAAATGCCTTGTGCTGCTCATTGACCAATGATGGGACCACATGTAAATTCAACCCACCAGCAGCCCCACACATGGAAGGGAAGTGGGAAGCACCGGTCAAATCAGTGAAATATCATTTGAACCGAACAGTAGGAGAAGCTGCGCTCACTTACGAAGAACTAATCACCCTGCTCATACCAATCGAAGCAGTTCTCAACTCAAGACCGTTGGTACCGCTCTCAGATGACCCTGACGACGTAGCAGCTCTAACACCAGCATACTTTTTGATCGTAGAACCGATCACAACAGTACTAGAGCCATCATTGACATACACCGCTCAAACAAGATTATCACGATGGCAATTCATTCAACAGAGGCTCCAGTACTTTTGGTCGAGATGGTCAGCTCAGTATCTACAACGTCATTTATCGACGTCAAAGTGGCATCACCCATCACATGAAATTAAGATTGGCTCATTAGTCCTGATCACAGACGAGAGGCTCCCACCAAGCAAGTGGCCTCTTGCAAGAGTCACTCAACTCCATCCAGGAAAAGACCAGCTCACGCGTGTGGTATCACTCAGAACTGCAACAACCACACTCGTAAGACCAATCACGAAGCTCGCCATTCTACCAGTACCTGTTACCGAAGAGCTGATCAACAGGGATCAGCAATACAGTTGCTGATGGCGGGCGGAATGTTCAATATTGAGACAAATCAATTGACGGGGGCAGCACCTCCCAATGATCACCAACGAACCGACCATGCAACAGCCGATCAGCCATGAACGATGCATCGGTAATGGTTGGCATCATCACCGCAGAGTCACACACACCACGCGCCGATAGCTGCGCGTGGCGTGCGCGTCGCTCACCACGAGCCAATCGCGGCCCGTGGCGTGCGTGTCAGTGATACGTCACATCCGTCTTCCTTACAAGCGGGCGGAAACGACTTCTCACTTTCACACTCTCGTTAAGATCGTTGTTTCAACCGCATCGAGTACGCCCCGACAGTTTTTATTTTGTGTGACTCTTTGTGTACAACTCTACAATTACCTTGTAAATCGTGAACACTGTGACGGAACGCCTAATCACTACGAACAACTCTATACCACACCATAGCCCAATTCAATAACAGAACAGCTCACGCTGAACACTCACCAGCTGATCGGCCATTATCAAAACCACCTGCGACCACGAGGTGATTTACGACCACCTCGCTCCGCATATCAACGCAGTGGTTACTCATCCGCACGGTAAACACTCAAGTCTCACTTACACGTAGAATCTATTGCAATAGAACCACTCATAGTGTGGCCATTAAATTAATAAGAAAGGTACTCTACATTTGACTTGATCAACCAGATTCACATGGCCTAAATCACACGATTTACACAGTGTAATTCTACTCATTCTTATTGTGTTCACATTCTCAAGCTTGCTCATCCATTGATTCTATTCATATGAAGTATTTTGCTCAGGCATTGATTTGATAAATATCAAGTAATGTTGATCACTCACTGTTATATTCACAATCCATAGCTTGCACATTCATTCTTCAATTCATAATTAATGAGCTGATCACTCATTGGTTCATTGCATACGTTGAATCCTAGCTCTCTCATTGTTTCAACTAATATTGACGCAATAAAGTAATCATAAAGCCAACATGTGTACATTTACTTGCCACGCAGCTGTCACCAGACATCCGTTTCCATCCTGGCTCGTTCCATGCAAATGCAACACACATACAGTCCACTAAATTCCTAAAATCAGCAATTATAAACCGAGCATTACGCAACAGACATAGTCTCAAACGAATGAACAAAATATATACAGTTTTTGCGCTCCTTTATTACAAATTCCACTTGCACAATTACGCCTGTAAGATTATGTTTTATCATTTTTAATCCAAATGGCACGAAGTTAATAGCTAGAATTGTGACAACAGAAATAACATTATAAGACCATTCCGTCCAAGCAAACTTGGCTGAATTGCATTTACTGTCGTAAAGGAGCAAGAATTAAACCAAAATTATTGCCCACATTATTATTTATTAATTACAGTTATTATTTATTGAATAAGAATATTCCTGTTTCCTTTTTATTAGGTACTATACGAAACAGAAATTTCATTAATTATGATTGCAGTTATTCCTGTAAAGCATTTTGCATACCTATGCACGTCTGTTGAGATTGTTTAAAATCCATAGGCAGCTCATAAAACATCAGCCGTTTCCACATTGCAATGGCAGCACTGCGGCGAGTAGCACTATTACTAGAACAGAGAGCAATAATGCATCGATTCAGATTTATCGATATACAATTCCTGGATAGGTCGATGTTCGAGATGATAAATACCAATTATTTTTCTTTAGCATATTTCACAATGTACATTCATCCAGAGTTTCAATAGTTAATGTCAGTATATTTGACATGATCGAATGCCACGAATAGTCGCCATTTCTGTACACGTTAATGTCGCTTCGAGACTAAGAGCTACCTACGGTCAGGACTTTCTCTCGTCTCACCAAAAATTTAGAGAGGAGGAAACTGAAGACAACTAAATAATACATATATTATAGGAATACAGAACATTTTCTTGTAAGTTTCATATTCTCATTTATGTCGTCTTGTTTAATCTATTACTTACAACGACAGTAATGTTTAAGAAATTTGAAGAAGTTGACCCTTCCTTTGTTTGCTGTGTGTATGCGTGTATGCACGCGCATGTCGTGTGTGTGGAATCACATTGAATTATGTAACTGCATTGCAAAAGTTTATGCAAATTCATATTTTTTAAACTAATTCTCAAGAAGCGAAATTTAAGGAACATATTTTTTGTATTAACAAATTTATTAACTTCAAATCAACTAAGAAATTTATAAAAATTTATTTAAATATTTATATTATCTTGTTTGGCACATTTATGTACGATACAACTGTAAAATCCATAATTTAGATTTAACTATTCAAAAATATTGTTCAGTCCCATTGCCTCTAAAATATTTTTCCGTTTCGATTTTGTTTGTGATTTTCTTTAACATATATATACACATTTAATTAAGTAAAATAAGTAAAACTTATATGTGATTTCAAAATTTGTGAATGTTAAAATTTTCCAACACACTAACAAAGGATGAAGTACAGATTAAATAAAACTTTCATTAGAACGACATTTCCACTAAAGTAAAATAATATTTATAATTAAATACTTTTTTTTTAAAACAAATAAGAGTATTTAACGAGAATTTGTGTTACCATTGAGTAATCAATAACTTTTATTATTACGATATTGACGAAAACGGAATTGAAATTATTCAAACAATCATATCACAACGAACAATAATTTTATGTTTCGATGATATATGTTACTATATACACTATTATTTCAGAATTTACACAGTTATTTAATAGTTTGCTATTAGAATATCTTCATAAAATGGTAATAATGGTCGTATCTCCTAATTTACCAGTTCTGTTGTAGTTTACAAAAATATAAATTTGTATCATCATTTCTATAACTGCTGATATGAAACGAAATAAATATTTCAGTAAATATTATTAAAGGTTCTACATATACATTATTAAACTCTCATAGTCTGCTTAATTTATTATTACCATTTTTATGAAAACTCCTGTTTCGAATGATAATCTATTTTTATACACTCTTCATATTTTCTTATCATCAAATTTAATTTTCTTTATCAAATTACTATGTCTTCTAGGTGATTTGATCTATTAATGTATATTCACTAAATACTTTCCAGTGAATTTAATATTGCATTACAAGCTTATCAGTCCCCGAACTTACTTCCTCGAATGTCCTGTAGCTTACTAATATTGCTTACAGAATTTTATTTTAAAAGAATTTATGTAAATGTGAATGCTACAGTTATAAACTCTTGTCCATAAATTTTAGGATAGTTACCGAATTTGAAATATACCTAATGAGGCATTACCAAATTATTGAGGGTTTTAAGTAAATATTATCTAGGACATATTACAGCTTAGTATACAATACTTGTATTGTTATAAAATACTAAAAATGGCGCAAGAAATGTATCGTCTATAAAACTTCAAATTGTTCTTGAGCAAATCTGGAGTTTCAAAGCTCATTGACCGAGAATGCATACTAATGCATCAAGATAGACTTTCATTAAAAACAATGTAGAATAATTCAATAGTAAAATTGATTCCAGTTTTTAGAGAATGTACGAAGACACGGCAGATGCATTTGATATCGATAACGATTTCTTCAATGCTCTGGCGTTACTTCATTCTACGGATGACGACAGCGCAGAGAAGCTCCGTAAAATGCTAGACGCAATTATCGAGAGGAAATACGGTTTTGACAAGACTTTAATGGCAAGGATGCCACAGAAATTTGTTCAAAACGCAGGAACTCGTGGAACATCGTTTTCAAACGACAAATCGGAAAAAGAGGTTGAGAAGATACGGAAAAATGAAAATATTTCGACAAAAACGATGAATGTACCACTTTTTGTGACTAATACGATGGAGACTAATTGGAAACCAATAAATACATTCGACAACACAGTTGAACCTAGTTGGAAATCTGTAAATACATTCGACGTTGCAACGGAAAATAATTGGGAACAACTAAGATCATTCAGTACAGAAGTCGAAGATTACAGCGAAAAAGGAGATATTCCGACAATATCTATTCCGGATGAAGGATCAGGAGACGGGCTTTTATGCAAGGTCTTTATGCGAGAATTTCTATATGTATACTTATTTAAATTAATATGCCCGGGTTTATTGTATGGGGTGTTCCGACTAACTTGTTTTCAGTGATGCACAAAAATTGTTGAAGAAACTGTTGTAAGCGTTGTGACCATTAGTATAATTAACAAAATAACTGCATTGTGTACAAACAGTATTTGCACACTCGAATTTCACATAACAAATATGTAAAATACGAAACATGAAATCATAAAAAATGTACTGCTTTTGTGTAACTGTATTTGTCCACTGCAGTGAACATCTACTTTATCACCATAGTGACAATATTTAGAACATTTTTTGACGATCGGCCGAACCAAACTTCTTTAAATGACACCCAAACATTAGAAAAGCGATGTTACTGTGACTACTAGTTCGTTATTTATCGTGAGCAAGCTCACTGTTTATGTAAAAACAACAATTTTGAACATTCTTGATTTTATGAAAAAAATTTTTGAACAGGATGCCAAAAAGATCAAGTGAGCGGGTTAAAAATGCGTGAAGTAATATAAATCTTTGTTATATAATCTAAGCATCTATAAGATTATTTCAAAACAGTGGGTATGTGCCAATACTTTTCTTATCCACGGTAGTTGAGCATGATTTCATATATTTGAAGATTATTTTTGTTCGTCTTTTAATGTATCTGCAATTTTTGACCACATCGCGATATAGTAATGGATTCAAAAGGAATTCAACAAAATACAGAATGGACACGACAAACAGGTTCATCTAAATAACTCTGCTGTTTATGAATGTATGAAAAAGCTATTGGTGGTAAAATAAATTGTTCGAAGCTGCAAGCAAAATGATAGAAAAAAATTTGTCTCAAACCCACTTTTTTTCGTCATTTAAAAGTCATCAATACAAATGTAACAAACATATTACTCGAATGCGGATTTTATGCATTTATAGCTCATACGACTATGTAAAATTTAGTATAGGAAAAGATTAAATTAAAATTTACAATTTTTAGCTGTATTTTAATAGTATTTTGACAAAACCTCTAATAGAGGAAAATAATTTCTGCTTAAGTCTAGTTCCTCTTCATTAATTCACAAAAACCTATAATTGCATAAATACAGTTCAGAATATGTTGAGAATAATTTGATCCAGAATTAAGTGTTTCATTTATTTAGTGACATATATTTTGTATGTTAATAGATATTATAAATACATAAAACTCCGCAGCCTAGTAGTTATGTATGAATGAAAGTTAATACAGTATTTTCTCTCCATCATGTTTGTAAATGTGATATAAGTCCAATATTTTGTATTTGAACTTTTAACATTTTGTACTTTAACATCTATGTAATTCCGCTTATTAGCTTGAGTCTTATCGCCTAATTTATTAACACAAATAGATAATATTTCAACATAAAAAGACGCGTTAATCTGTCACTAAAAGTAGTTTCGACTCGTGTTTTACAAATTGGACTTATACGACTTTCAAAGAGAGATGCTTACATCGTGAAGCTGGTTGGCTCTTGCATCAATCTTACCAATAACAGGGGAGAAGGTAACGATGATTTTGTGTATGAACGGAAATTAAACAGGGAGGGAATACTGTGAACTTTTTCTATCAATATTTTCAACTATGAATTTATTAAATTCGATTGTTATTTGTAATATTAATTTCATATCTGATGCGAAAGATCTGTAACGGCGCAAAGCTGGGACCCTTGATTCTATTGGAGTGTCAAGATTGTCAGGAAGTCTATCATCCTTTGTGTCACCAACCTCCCGTTGTTGACATCGACGTTTACGATCCCAGAATCGTGTGGCACTGTAGCAAGTGTACGAACACCGCTTTCAAAAACTGTGGCGTATCTTTTGAAGAGAGAAAAGTGAACAGATCTCGTCACCACAGCAAGACAAATAAAACAAATGAAGTTTTTGTAGATATCGATAAATCGATCAAAATGGAAGACAGCCTTCCCAAAAATAAAACGATCATCGGCAAAAAAATTCCATCTGGTAAACAGACAATTTTTAATATGTTTCATCTTTTTACTTCTTTTACACACAACTGAAAGTTATTATATGTTTATAGATATTTCTCAAAAAACCAGTTGTGGTAAGGAAGGAACACTGTTCGTAAAGGATGCTCCGCTATTAGTTCAGAAAATGAAGAACATATCCTCGAATCAGTTAAAGAAACGAATAGGATCCAAACTTTCAGTAACACGTTCTGTAATCAAATAGTCATGAAGTTATTAATTAACGATTACAAAGTTTTATTTATTTGAAAAAGACACGAAGTTAAGGATTGTATAGTTTGGTCTACCAAAACTGACAACAGGACCAAGAAGTGTTAAATGGCTGACGAAATAACCAATAATGGACTCCCACTTGTCTATATCACTCAACAGGGTATTAATAAAAATGTGGGACACTTTCACATGGTGGATTCTTCATGTCAAAGTAACACGAAAATAAAAAATGATGAAATTGTGTGCAAAGCTTCGTTTCCGAGTTATGAATTATTGAAAATATGTACAAAATATACGTGAAATACGTTTGACACGTAGGTTAGGTACATATGTATACTACTCAGACAGACGATGCTCAACTGACAGACAGGCTTGATCAATGACCTAGTGAAACTAATGAATGAGAAAAAATGAAATGAACGAAACCAACTCGCGAAACAGTTAAACAACGCGCCTCTCAAGTACTTTTTTTGTATTTCGCCCATAATTTTTACAATTGATGTCTAAGTCAAAAACAAAGTCTCGAGCGTAAATTCGTAATTCCTGATTTTCGTCTTAGTTTGCGCAGGTAGAATCCACGCTGTAAAAATGTCTCACATTTCTATTAACACTCTGTATATTATTAGTTACACTGGCTAACCGAAAATATTAGTGAATGAAAGCCCTATCTATTCGGCTGAGTTTCATTTGCCATTTCATTCTTTCTTTTTTGGTATGCTGTTTTAATTTGTATGCGTATGAGAATAACTGTGAAAAAAAGAAATTATATGAATTGAAGACTAAGTTCTTGAGGAGTTTTCTACTTTCAGATATGTGAAAAGTTCTTCGTTACATAGTAATATATGTAATATGTAGTACCGTTCTAAATTATGTATTATTTGAAAGTTTTGTTTGAACTATAATTTCTTGGATAACTGTATGAGCATTGGTGGCAATTTAATTCCTTTTTGTCCCGCAGATTACACGTTAAGGGCGAAAGTTGCTAACCGAACTTGACATTTGCCAGCAATGTTTATACGAGAGGTCGTGATTCTGAATGTGTATTAAAAGCACACGTGTATTTCACGTACACGTACATCAGGATGTGTCGTGTTAAGTACACGGGTACACGTGTACTATTTCACGTGTACTGTTTCGAAACGGGCTGCTTGCCGCAAATTTCGATATGAAATCACTGGGATCGCTCAGCGCTGAGCGTGGAAGTTGAAGGACTCTTGCTCGAGTCCAAGAAAACACACGAGAAATTACAATGATAGACCGAACACTTAGAACGTTTATTGGACGATATACAGTAAATAATACGAAAATGTTACGCGATGCGCATGAGATAAGAATTTGTTGCTTGGTTGCAACAAAGAAACTGTACAACAACGACGCGATGTGCGTGCAAAATTGTCGTGCGAGAATAGTACCAGTATTCTTCCTATTCTGTTCTAGTCTGCTGGCTGTTGGTGTAGGACACTTCGAGAGTCCTTTTTTGCACAGCTCGGTGATTGGCGGTGAGTCATCGGGCGATACAGGTGTGGCAGGATTGGTTTCGCCGAATTCGCGTAATATTTCTCGGTTACGAGGAGCGCGACGAAATCTCGCGAGATTTCGACAAAACTCGGGAAACCTCGGCCGCGCGACGGTGCGCGAACGACTTACAATTAGTCGAATTTCAAACATGTACTATTTCACGTGTATTTAAGTACACGTGTACTATTTCACGTATATTGAATATACTTGTACTGTTTTACGTATATTTAAATATACGTGTACTATTTCGCTTATATTTGAATATACGTGTATTAACGAATCTGCATTTCGATTCGTATTAATTTTTAGGATACAGTTACTAATTTTAGAAAGCATAGTTATACAAAATACATACCAAAATAAAGGGTATAGCCCGATAAGGGGGTCAAAAGTGCCTTAGAACGAGTTGGATTTGTGATGGGCCATTTGATAGTTTACCAAGTAAAAGATGTGTACCAATTTTCAACGCTCTATCTCAACCAGGAGGGTAGTAACAGAGACAATTCGGATTATCCGGATTTTCCTATATTTTCTCTTTAATGACATGCACAAAATCTATAAAAAAAATCTGATAAATGTTAGTTACCGGGGCATGCAGTAGAGAATTTGTGCCGATTTTCTGGTTGAAAATCCTAGGCGTGAAAAATTACAAAAACTAAAAAATGACGAAATATACGAATTTCTTATGGAAGATTTTAAGCGATTGCATTTATACAATTACAGTAACAACATATCGTCATAACTATTGTAGTATATTTTCTAGAGATTTTTTGGTAGGGTATGCCGTAGTTTTAAAAATCAATAACCGATTTTTTCGACGTTATTTCACGGAAAAAACGCACTCTAGTACTTTGCATTTTTGTATTCACTTTATTAAGTGAGTATATTATACGTTTTTAAGTATTCTTACATTTAGCAAAACAATATATAAATTAAAGAAATTAAATAAACATAATTAAAACTATGCTACAACTTTATACAGGGTGAACCACGAATCGTGATCAGTATAGATTACTGTTATTAGCAGTCCGATCGAAAATGTTTTTATCAGGTATACCATGGTTTCAAGACAGCTTTAACGTGATTATAACAAATTTTTTGTCAACTCTTTTTTCATGACTTTTCAGTCACCTTCAATTTTTTGCAAATATACCTATAATTTTTTTACGCCTATCTGTTAGAGGATTTCAAGACGAATTTGGTAAGTATCATAACATAACATGTGTTACTTTTTTTTAAATTGAATTTTTTAAAGAAAATTGAAGGTGACCTTGAAAAATCATGAAAAAAACGATCTCTACTGATCATGATTCGTGGTTCACCCTACATGTTAAAATATTGACGTTACTCCCAAGAACACAATTGGTGTCATCGGTTAAGCATCCTACAACGGTGTTACGTAGTTGGGTTGAATAAATAATAAAGTGGAGATGTCCGTTTTCTAATATTTACTTCCAAACAGTAACACGAGATAAATTGTTAGGATACAACTAATTGGTCGGAAAACGAGTACAATCCTCAAATTGTACTTTACAAGAACTAATTGACAGGATGCGCGTGCCGAGAGTTTCGGTAACGTAATGACTACTGGTGTAGTGTCCTAAGGTAATATATACAGTCTGGGCCTAGTCCTGGGCCCTTGGTCTTCCGTAAAGGGGGTGGTGTATGACTCGTCAGTGATTCGGAGTCATCCTATGTTATTCATACTGTTTGTGCGGGGTAGTCATCCTGACACGTCACAACGGAACCGTAGAAAATTTTTTGGTCATAGGTTTTAGGCGTTGTACGTACTTTTTTTTATTATATAAATTGAAAGACGTTCGCGACATCTGTGAGCGATTAGATTGTTGTAAGGTCCCTTCCGAAACATGCGTTTCATTCTCTATTCCGTTCTGAGTGAGTGTGTAAGAAAGACGTGTTCAAATGTTGTAAATAAGTACACTAAAAACCAAATGAGACCATAACTGCGAAATGACGAATTTCGGTCTTGTTTGCGCATATTCCTCTCGGTTACCTTAGTTACCAACCTCTTAAACAATTGAGCATCAGTATGCCTCGTGTAGCATCATACATCGAGTGACTGTGAAGTGCCAATTCATAAGTATTCATGTCTTGAGAAATACTTCATTATGTCACCTGGTGTATGACAAATTCTATCGTCCTTGTTACAGAAAGCGAGAAAGTGGGGGAACCAAGGGTTCGAGAGACCTCTCATGCTCATTCGAGATGCGCGAGCGAAACAGTTATGTTCTTGTTTGGCGTTTAGTGTATGTTAATTTGTTCTGTCATAAAATAAAGTATCTTCGCTCTGTGAAATCATCTTTCAATGGTTATGGGCCCAGAATACGCCCAGAATACGTCAAGATACTACCAGAATTTATCCAGAATCGTTTAAAGGTACAACATAACCTATAAGTGACCACGTGTGAAACGTGGGATCTACAAGATGAGTGCCGAGCATGAAGAAATGAGTTTCACATTAACAAATTGTCCGAAAGCAATTACCGGACATGGAAAATTGAAATAAGATGGATGCTGGAAGCAAAAGGATTGTGGGATTATGCCCTGGGTAAAAAAGAACAGTCAACGTTTCAGATGGCAGACCGCAGACAGTTCCATGTAACGAACGACGACAAAGCCTTAGTGTTAAGACGGGAGACTCCGTGAGCCGGCCCTGGAGTGCACTCACACATCAACGAGAACCGTGTATGTATACGCGATGTACGAGAGAGACAATCGACTTCGTAAATTCCAACTTCTGTCTCTGAACAATTACACAAATGAACTTTTCACGGGTATTGAACTCACGGGTAGACTTCCCTACAGGGTGGTCTGGTCCGTATAAACACCAATAAACACATTCTAATTGAAAGAGTTAGAATTTTAGAAAGTGTGCGATTATGACACGCCGATGAACACACAAGATGGCTGCACAAGTCACATTTTGTTAGATATCACACGATTTAATGGTTTTCTCGTCAAACGCAGCCAGACCATCCTGCACACCACTATCACACTATCGTAGAAATCCAATTTTTGTCACTGTATCACTTCTGGAACGCAGAAGTTTGAATTTACGATTCGACGCGTCCAGCCCAGAAATAAACAGTGGTATAGTTCAAGGATTCTCCGCTACAGGCGTTTATGGTATTTGTCAGTCACTTTGGCCTGCGTTACCACGTGCATCGATAAAGCAGAGGGAGTCGATAAATGTAACCTCGCACCACGTGGTGGATCGTATCGATTGTTTGTTACGCTGTTGCCACATGACAATTCCGCCCGTTAGGAGAACGATGGAACACCTACGACCTACGATTCTCGCGGAACGTAGGAAAAGAACGGTGCGAGGGAAAGAAATCCGCGAATTAAACAATACGTACTAATGTGTGCAGGGATGAACCTTTTTATTCGTACTTGCAATGATGCTTATTTTTTTAATCAATGGAATTACATACGAGATACTTGACATGGTAT